AACTCCAGTTACCTTCTCTGCTCCTTGATTATCTTTAGTGTAGATGGCCATCAGCTCTGTGTTCTCAGTATCCTGGTCTCCACTGGCCCCGCCCACGCCGTTAACCACCACCTTAACACACAAACAGACATGCATAATTACAATGTATTAAGAAAGACTGCAGATACTGGCAGTATAGACAAAATGCTGCAAGATCTGCAAGACCTGCAGAACCACAACAAAAGATTAAAGATAAAGAGTGTCAGGGTCCGACTGTATGCTAAGCTGTCGACTCTAAAGTCTAATGAACAAAGAAACTAGAAAAACCAGTCAGAGTTGGAGTTTAAATCCTTGTATGTCACCACATGATTATTTTATCATATCAGACATTTGTGTGAATGCGTCATTATTAGCTAAGAATTACTCGAAGCGTTCCGGAGAATGGGAAACGATGAATGACACTCGAAAGACCTTATGGCTTAAAAAGCTGCAAGCTGCACATGGACATTGGTTTCCTACAGTATGCAAACTTCTCGCTTTACAAACAAATAAGTTCTGCCCACTGTGTGTGCAAGTCTGTGTTATTAAATTAAGTGTGTGCTTTTCCTGTATTTCCGGAGAGCATCTGTGTCACAGCACACATTATGATTTAAACTTCGGTAGTAATCAGCAACGAATATTCGGCGCGGGGGAGGGGGGGGTGGGTTGTAATCCACAGCGAATATTCGGTACGCATGTATTTCGGTGTATTCAAGGCATTCATTTTGTTGTTCTACAGTATTGTTGTTTTATAGTTATTTGTTAATGTAAATAACCCAATTTGTGTTCTTTGAAATTGAATGGGATCTTGCATTGTGTTTGTTACTTCCGTTGCAGTTGTATATGTGCCTAAAAAAAAGAACAAATACGATTATCCGAATAACTAAATTGAAAACCGAATAGTAGGCCAATGACCGAATATTCGGGTACAGCCTTAATGCAAAGTCGCTAATAAATCAACTGCCAGCACCCTGTCTTCACTGCGTTGTTAGAGTGATGTATACAGACCTCAGTGTCCTGAAAGCAGTGCTCAGTGTGTCTTTGCTCAAACCTGCAATAAATAAGGACATGGCCTCTTTGCAGGTGTCATGTTTGCGGGTTAGGGTTACGGTAAAGTGGGAAAAAGTAATCAATCGGCTGAATGACACAAAGAGCCTACATATAACTAAGGGAGGGGGCATCACACTGGTTTTTAGGCATTGTTAATGGGAACAAAAATATTTAAGCTTTAAGGAATTAAAAAATGAATATTAGCCAATTAACTTAATGTATCAATATTAATAGTCTTTCTGCAGAAAGTTGCCTTTTCATTAAAGACCAGAAAAGAGTTAAAAATATATACTTTATACTTTCCATTCACTGGATTTCTTTTATTGGTTTTGTTTTATCATTTTCACAAAACAAAGGTACCAACACCCGTCTTAAAAAGGTGTTTAATTAGAGTTTGCCTTGCCCTGTCTTTTAACACCTGTTCAAAACTTTGGATTCCCACACTGGATTGTGCCAACTTTCAAAAACATTTATTTATCCGAAACTCTTGAGTCACCCTGAACTAATATAATAACTTGATCTCCATGTTCACTAAAGAAAGGAAATGTATCCGGCAGTTGCGATTGATGGTTCCTCGTCACGACATGCGGCGTGTTCTGCTGCGTTAGCTCAGCGCGACATTGGCCCTTCTCTACATCTTCATTGGAAACAAAGGATTCAAGCACAAAAACGTGGCATGTGTACAGCCACTAGACCCGTTCATGGTTTTGTCTTAGTGTTTTATAATATTATAAACATCCAAATAACACGTTTGATTACCGGAATAGGGTAGAAATCTGCGCCATGCTTGCTCTCCTCTTCAAGTTTTCCTCCCTCACTGCTGCTGTCCATGGACTTAGAAGTGGTGTTCTGTCCCACACCCATCCTTGTGTCCTTCTCCTCCTCTGTCGGTCTTTTGTCTCGCTCCGGTGTGAATGCAGTAGATGAATCGTTCAGTCCGATTACATCGCAGAGGACTGCCTCATCTGCTTGGAAATGGAAAGACATACAAACAGAGAGATTAATATCTCGATGTATTTCTTTATGGGCTCTAATATCCTAATCCTGAGAGGCTGCCAGGCCGCACTTCTTGCTGATTAGAAACTTATGTCAGCTCTCTTGTTGTTTTTGTCCCGTCTATTTTGGATGACAAAAGTATGTTAACGGTAACAATTTACCATATATGAAGGAAAGAGAGAACTCAATATGCCGCATCAAATAGTGAAGCATGAACACATGTTTGATGGAAAGGATGAACAGAGTGATTATAGATGAAGATGATTGAAAGGCAAGAGAGATGATGTCAGTTTGTCTTAAAGTGGTAGAGAGGTATTTTCTACTTTCTGGTGGTAGAACCTGTCGGTTTGGTGGTTGCTTGTCGGTGGGTAGATTATAAAAAAAAAAGTTTAAGCTCTCATAACTTGACTACTGTGGTTAATTAATAAATGTAGAATTTAAACATGTTATCAAATAGTTTGATAATTGAGTAATCATGTACGTTTAACCAAAATTGCCAAAAGTTGTTTTAGTTCTAGCTTCTCAATTGTGAAGATTAATGGATTTGCTTTATCTAATGTCATACACATATTAATAATAGTCTTAGTTTTTGTATTAACTGACATTTTACAGACTTTTATTTGCAGAATGATCAAATAATGAATCTGCAGAATAATTACTCCTAAAAGTAATTGTTAGTTGCCGCTCTACAACAATCCTTAAATAATTAAAAAAAAGATGATCATTTGTTCTCTTTCAAATAAAAGTGTCAAGGTTTTTGTTTTAATCAATGTCCCCAACAGGTTTGAGAACGGAGGAGAAAGCAAATTCACAGAGAGGTGAAATAATGCAAGGAGTTGGAAAAGAGTGAACCATGGACGGATGTTTGGTGGAGAGGAGTACGTTTGTCCTAGAAGGGATGGAGCACTATAGGCTAATTCCTCATGGTGTGTGTTTTGTGTAAGACAAACCGTAAGTTATGTAGCATTATCCGACACCTGAGCTTTGGCTGACAATCCCTTTGTAACAGTCAGTGCCTCTTGTTCAATCTATCACTAACTGTCAGTTACCAAACGTATTAGAACCAGAAGTATGAGAAAGTTGGAATAAATATTTTGCCACACACTGGATTAAGTGAGCATTGCTGATATAAAGTGACGCACACAAAGACACAAGAACATCAGGTTCTATTGAGAAGAGGTGTTGAAACCGTAAAGATTCTAAAGGATCACTGAGGCCTTCAGATGTTGACCTTGGCCTTTACGTAAATATCCTTTGACAGGCGACCTATGGATCCGGTTTCCTTCATACCCCTGGGCACCAAAGCAAAGCGAGTTTATTACATGAAAGGTAATATCATATCTATCATATTAAGAAATTAAGCAAACGCTTCACAAAACACAAACTAAGTAACCATGTGCTTGTTTGTTAGATCATCATTTCCTCATTTACCATTATACGCCTGCTTAGATGGTAGAGAGGATTATGACATCCATTGCTTTTCATACTCTGATCATTTGTGCTTAACATACTTTTAAAAGTTTTAAAAGAGTGCTTGTGTCTACAACCAATTACGTCTTTTAGATATAGTGGCCAAAATAAGACCCAAATTACCAAATCTACTGTAAAAAAAATAAAAGAATAAAAATGAAACCGCAAGAGTAACTGTTACTTTTAGTTTAACTTAATTATTTACTATCTGGCAAGATGTAAACATTTCAAGAAAACATTTAGCCCGAGACCGTTGACTCCGTTAATTAATTATTGATCGTTCATGGTAAAAGAAAAGGCCCATAAAGACTTGAAGATGAATTGACACAACATAATGTAAGAGGCAATGATACCTAGCCTTATATTTATCTTTTCCAAAAGTAATTTAATTTGTTTTAATTGTAAAATGTTGGGATAGGTGTAATACCTAGCTGACACATCCCATCACTCCTGTCAAGCTGGGCGGCTGGGAGCATCTGTGTGGAAGGGGCAAGAGATAGGGGGAAGGAGGAGGTAGAAGAAAGAGAAGAAGAAAGAAAAGAGAAGAAGAGAAGGGGGAGGAGGCAAAGGAAGGAGGAGGAGGAGGCGAGACATAAGTTAATTTGACAGACAGCATTTAATCACAAGCAAAAGTTAGTGTGTATCGTATGACTGATGTGTTCATTAAAACTCAGATTCTTAGGTGAAATATGGCTTTAGGGAGACGGTAAGAGTTCCAATTAGGTCTTCCACATACAGTTTGAAGGTCGCGTGTACTTTTAGAAAGGACAGAAAGAAAACCATGAAGCCAGGCAAGCCTAGGCAAACTGCCAAGTCATGATGGACTCGCTAATATAGGCCTTTAATTTATCTTCACACTTAAAAAGACATGCCATTTAAGAGGTTCTGTTTAATTTAAAGAAGAACTGTTGATCAAATACTTACTTAGAGTTATGTATACATATTCCTGTGTTTTCATATTATAAAACAGACACAAAGGAATGTGCAAAGGGGCTCATTCATAAAAGATCATTTTGCTTTTTAAGAATGCGACTTTTGTTTCTTGTGAATTTGGCACTTATACTTAAAGAAAATAATTAAATTAAGACACACGCTAGGCAAGAAAAATGAGCAGTCACATGATCTTTTAAGATTTTAAACCGTGATGAAAAAGATCTGAGGGTGACCATGCAATTCACTATTCATGTTTTAAAACATTTAAAAGATTTTAAAGTCCTGTCTCCAGTATCAAAATGATAACATTTACAGGTATACTGCAAACTGCACAGCAGAAAGGCAGAACTGAGTACGCATTTATATGTTATCACAATAACTATAATTCTCGCTATATTCAACCTTTTGTCCACTTATGGTGCAGCCCGGCTAGCATAATATTGTATTTGATAGAAATGATGGCCCAATCTTAAACAAAGGAGACTAATCCTTGGTCAATGTCATGGTTAGAAAATCAACCCAAAGTTAGCCTGTCAGATCATTTCTGCATACTGCACAGGATTGAAATCACACACCGAGTGCTGCCTCGCCTCAGGCTCTCTCAGTACTGAGTCAGTTGTGAGATGTGGAGTGTGACAAAGTATCCCAGCAACCTCTGTGTGATAAAAACTCAGATGAGGCATATGCTAACACCAGCAAGACATGCTACTTTAGCATGACCGTTCCCTTTATACATCAATGAGCATGACATTGTCTCAAAAGCCCTTTTCCGCTTGTTGTCCAAGACACTAAACACACACATTCACACGAGGGAGAAAACAAGAAACACAGGGAACTGTTGTGAGAGAAGAGAGAACTGAAAGCGAACCAATGTAACGGAGGGGAATTCTGCAGTTTCATAAACAATAAATAACTTTTCACAATATGTTAAAGACAACATTTAAAAAGGAAAAAGGCAAGAAGTGTGTGTGTGTCTGTGTGTGTGTGTGTGTGTGTGTGTGTGTGTGTGTGTGTGTGTGTGTGTGTGTGTGTGTGTGTGTGTGTGTGTGTGTGTGTTACCTGAAGGTAAACACTGCGCTCCTCCAGGCTTCACGAGTTGTGTGTTTGCACTTATAGCTTTACAGATTTTGCAAAGATGCTCCATTTCCTGGAACACATCGAAGTCTGGATCCAATATGATGCTGCCCTTTGAAGAGATATAAACACCACGTCAGCCACATGAGACTATTCATACATCTAGCTCTGATTTATTTCTGTTGATTATTAAGATGCACAAGTGTTAGCCTCACCATATCTCCGATCACGTGGTTGTCCCTGTGCTCGGTCCGGTTGACTCCCAGGATGCCGAACACAACGAACACCATGGCCCCGGTGTCCACCAGAGGACGCACCGCCGGGCGGCCACATGCCCCCCCACTGCAAGGGTTGAAACCAAACGTTTTGGATGACTTCATCTTGGCAGCAGACGAGGGACCTTTGAAAATAGAACCAGAGGGAAAATCTCTCAACAGGCATCTAGTTATACAGTGTAAAAATATCTCTGTAGCTGCAATTCTGTGGGAAAATCCTCCCGTGGGTTGAGAAAGTGCCACTTTAAGAAGCAATGTTTGAAAGAAGATGTGTATATCACTCTATTATTAAGACTCAGAGTGAGGGAAAAAAAGACATTTCAGCAGTGTGACACATGCTCTAAGAAGATAGCTTTCTTGGTGGACTGATGATGCTTTCTGAGACTTACTTGCTTGCTCACTGCTGGGAAAAGGAAGATAAAAGGATCCCTGTGTGGGTCCATCAGGCCCAAAACTGATGCCACAGCCGGGCGGGTTGACACACACTCGGCTGGGATGAGGTCTCAGGTGGCGCTGCGCAAAGTACAATCTCCTGAGATAGGAAAAGCAGAGCTGAAAATATACCTCAACAGCACAACAATGTACAGATACATTTTTCTGCAGAGCAATGTAAACTTCGGCAGACAACACATCTATTTAAAGGGTCCAACATTTAGCTCAGTTGGTAGGTGAAGTGAGGCTTGGTCCCCATGCAGAGCACCCAGGTTTGAATCCAGCCTGGGACCATTTGCTGCGTGTCATCCCCTCTGACTCCCACTCTCAATACGTTCACTTAGATGACATGTGTCAAACTCAAGGCCCGGGGGCCAAATCAGGCCCTTGGTGGATTTAATTTCGGCCCGTAGGATAATTTCTAATTACTATTAGATCTGGCCCGCCGGTATATTGCACGCACACCTTCACTCAATCCTGAGGGTTTCCTCAGCTCAGAGCCTGAGCCCAAACATTGATGAACTTGCACCCAAGATGAGATGCCAAGTATCTGAACTAGCATCACAGAGCAGCACACTGAGTTTAATGGATGTTTCCTTCTGCACTTTATTTCTTGCGACAACAGGGCATGTTTGGTTTTTCTTTGAGGGAAATAGTTTTTTTGAAGCTGTTGTTGGCCTGTGGAAAAATGTAATCATAAGAAATGACTCCGGAAAAGCTGCAGATAGAGCCATAAGAAACGAATGCAACTGATTATTTAATGTTTAATGTTGTTTTTATAGGCAATAATTTAAGCTTTGTTAGTTCCAGGTTTAATATGTGCAATAAGTTCATTTCAATACGTTTTGCAATAAACATTGAACCAGTCCGGCCCTCGACTAGTACCCATTTTTTTTATTTTGACCCACTGTGTATTTGAGTTTGACACCCCTGCTTTAGAGTAATGTGAAAGTTGTCAGAATTTATGGAATTTCTACAATCTCACAAAAAAGTGTTGAATTCCCACACACTGTCAGCACATAGTCCATTGAAAAGGACTAAGTTCTGACAGTGAAGAAAATGCTGATAACATGGCCACGATACATTTATTATGATTTCTTCATGTTGCTGACTTTGGCGGATCAAAGATGTTAAGTTTACAATGACGTAAAATACAAGTAGCACAAAATCATCACACTTGAACAGCAGGAACGAAGAGGATAAATGTTTCCATTATTAGAATAATGGCCAATTCAAGCTACAGCTAAAAGATGTTTAGCCACTGCCACTGACTGAACAAGCAAAGAAGAACAATTGTAAACTTCTGAGTCAACACATTAACAACTGACAAAATCATCCCTTAAGTGCAACTATCATCAAAGCCGACTGAACCAGGTGTGATGGAAAGTTACTACTGACGACAGGAAATAACAGAAGAACGCTAATGCTTATCATTGTTAGCTGTGAATAATACGCTGGAATGTTTCACGGCGAACAATACAGCCGTGTGGTGTCTGCTGAAAGATTCCAACTGAGGAAAGCTGGGCCAGTTTCCCTCCTGTTAAGTTTGGTAAGCAGATTAACAAATCCTATAAATCAAAAATTGTTTCACAACTGTTGCGAAACAATTTGAACATATAATATTTTAGTACCTTTACCTTGGCTAAAATCAGGCTAAAATGTGTGTACAGTGTGTGTGTGTAGGAGGGGGGTAAAGGGTGGATTATAAAAAGCAAGCAAGGGCATGTTTACATTGGTCAACATACCGTCAGTGCAGTGGAGGTGAATGGAGATAAGAGTGTGTCTCTTAAACAGTTACAGAGTTAGCAGGTCAACAAAATACATGTTTCAATCGAGGGGCGTGAAGCCATGTTCTACCAGCGCAGTATTTTTTAAAATAAAAACATCTTAATTTTATTATCACATCTTAAAATACCCTTTACAATTACATGAACCCAAGTGGAAGTCTTCATACTGTATTTATTGTTAATACAATTCTCAACAACAAGAAACAGCATTTGAAGTTTTCAGAGAGAAGTGTCTTGAAAAGCTATTTAAAATAATGTTTAAATGATTTTCTGGCGATAAACTATTTTTTACATTTTTAATGATTAATGATCCATTCAGAAGTTGAACGCTTTGCCCTAAATGTTCCCACACACCGGAGGCCTTGGTTTCAAGGTCAGTTTTGCATTTCAAAGGTTAAAGCCTTGTTTGTTTAAGTAGTTTACTTTTCATGCATTACTCTTCATGTATTTCACTTGTCTTTGTGTTCCCAACCCTTTGGATGTGATTTATTGTGTTGTGCTTCTATATCAAACACATAAGCGTCATTACATAAGGATTACTAAATGGAAATAAACCACTTTCAAAAAACAACAGTAGAGCAAATTGTAAACTCGCACTGCTTTGAGAATAAATATGTTTTGTCATCAGAAAAAAAAAGGAAGGAAGTTCACAAAGAAACTCAATGTCATTTGGCAGATTGTGTGAAACTAGACAAAGCACATAAAGAAATGTGTGTTTGTGTGTCTGAAACAGAAGTTTCATGGAGTCAATAGGCCCATATTGAATGAGGAATGTACATTTATATGACAGAATAAAACCCCTTTGATGGTATGATGAAAATCATAAACTAGTAAGACGAGGGTTAAGCTTAATTTAAGAATATTATTATACAATAAAAGTGACAGCTGTCAGTGAAAATAATGAACGACCAAAGCAAGCACTTTTTTCACAACTTACCGGAATGACGGCATAGTTTATAATTTACCTCCCTGAGTCATGCAAAAAGTAGCCTGGTTTTTTGTAACTCGAGTAAGTAATCTGAAACATGTCCTAGTTAGGGCGAGCCAGGTACACTGACTGCTTCAGTCTTTGGTTACATACACCTTCAATTCTCACATATTCTTTCTCTTCACTTGGCCTTGCAGTAAGGCTTAAACTAGAAGAACAAACTAGCATCAACAACATCTTTAAAATACTTTAATATGCTTTTCAACAGTTGGACATTATCTGCATCCAAACCTCATTGGCAGAGATGTGTATGATTCACGTAAGTCCAACTTCTAATAAGCTGTTACATCTGAAGTATGTATTCAAGTTCTTCATACATTTTTGTCATGAATTCAGTATTTTTTAGTCCCACTTGAAAAGAAATCTTGGAAATATAATGGTTTAAAAGGATTAAAAACCTAAAAATACAAACTTGCAAAGTAACAGCTGAAAGTGGGTAGTGGGGATCTTCAGTATTGTTATATTGAAAGGAGACCATTGTTGTCAAAACCTGTTATTTAAATGTACTTATTTAAAAAGGATTCCATCCGTCATGTCTGCCTGTAAGACAAAGGTGGACGTTTGACAAAAAGCCTGATGGAGGCAGTAACAGAAGGAACGCTGGCAAATACAGTGGCAGGGGGCAGTACTTTGAAAACTGTACAGAAAGCGCCACTAGAGATGTTATTCTGACTAATGAGTTTTTATTATAGTACATGAAAATGAGTCGTCTTCTAGATAACACGTACAATTAGACCTATGCTGCTGCCTTTTTTTTAATAATTTGGGACAATGTAAAGCCCCAGTTTTCCTGCTTTCCCTGGTTCTTAGCAGTTTAACAGCAGGTGGACTCCCAAGCTGTGAGGTACAAACACATTCTTTAGTTTAAGAAACCAAAGCAGCGGGGAAGACAGTTACATCTAGATCAGTGGAATAGAGATTCAGCCTTTAAATGCATTTCCATCCCCCTCAAAAACACCTACACCCACACAGCATGCTGTCAGCGTCACGTGTGAATAGCGGTTAAAGGTTAGATTAAAACACTAAAGTTTCCTTTTTTCTTAGACAGAAACAAATAAGATAAGATGGACCTTTAAATGCATGTAATGTAAGGTTTCTTATATCCACCACCCAGCCTCAGGACTTTTTCCATCAACTCCAGGGGGGATATTTAAGAGTAAAAGGCATCCATTACTGCTTTAAGTTGATGAAATCTTTTAAGCCTACCTTATCCGACCCAGACTCCTGCTGTTGCTCCCAGTGGGAAACCAGTTTCATGGGCTCGTACAGTAACTGTGGAGACGGATGACCTTCCTTCAGCACCACAACTTCATAATGATGTGGAGGATTTACTAAGTGTGAGGTTAGCTAAGAGCAGTTTAAAAAACACTCGGTTTAGCAGTTCAGAGATGTTTAACAGACTGTGGTACTACAGATGTAAAGCTGCATTTTTTTACAGGCTTTAGCGTGGCTCGCCATGGCTCGGTTCACCTTTGCTCGGTTCGGCTCACTTTAAGCTGTGTTTCCATTACAGTTAGTAACGAAGGTAGTAACGATGGTAGTAACTATAGTAACGACGCAGTGTCAAACCACTTCCATGTTTTCCTACTGGAACCACTCCGGCTGTTGTGGTCCTTGACGGCTCTATAATCACTCTTCAGTTTTTGTAGTTTCTCTCTACACTGCTGGAAAGTCCTTGTGAAGACGTGTGCGGCCAACAGTGTAGAGACCTCTTGGTAAACTTTCTCGTTTCGCGTTACACCGTCGAGCTCCCGCTGTATTTTTTCATCTGCAACGAGATGGAGGAACGTCTGTACCTCGTCCAACGACCACGGCGTGCTTTCTTTGCTGCCATTTCTTTATGGATTTGTTGAAATAAAAAATACTTTGTTGAAAATAGAAATACTTGCTGACGGTAGCTCGTCTGTTTTAAAAAAAAAAATGGTGCTTATGCGACGCTTGGGGACTGTCTCGCGCAATAATTGTGACGATTCTCTGACAAATCAGCGGTCGGCAGTGTTGTACGTCACTAGCTAAGCATATTTTCAGCTCGCTTTGAACCTCGACTGAGGTGGTTCTAAAAAAGTACCAGTCACCCGGAACTATCCCTAGTGGAAAAGCGAAAAAGAGCAAGCCGAGCCGCGCTAAAACCCTGTAGTGTAAATGCGGCTTAAGATACTTCACGTGTGTAGTGGAGATCTGCCACTTCAGATCATGCTGATTTTCTCATACAAGACACTGCAGGGGTTGCAATCAACAATTATTTTAATTACTCAATATTTTCATTAATATGATAAGGTTCTTGTGACAAGTAGTGGTATAACAGGTAATATAACAAACAAACCC